GATTTTACTGACATCTTTTTGGAGGATTCTGATTGCACCGACAATTTGTGTGGTCTAGAATGCATTATCATTTATATAAATATGGACATATGTTATAGAGAAAAACATCTCAAAAAACGCTTCTTCCTCAATTTCTAATTAAGGCAAAAATGTGTTACAACAGAAGTAACCCTGCTGTTGAATTCAAGTTTTCAGATAACAGTACATCCCTTGTCACCTTGAAAGAAACGTTGAATGCATTGCTGTCTGATTCCGATAACAATAGGGACCATTATATTGATACAAATGGTTGGATGAAATGCAATCTAATTGAGTTGAAGACCGATGAAAATGTGAAGGCCATGTGGAAAGAAATTCGTCGTAGGATAATTAAATATCCGATCGAATTAGATGCGGAGATCCGAAGATCCGTCAACGACATAATCAAGATGTTGAAACATCCTGAATCACCTGGTAGTTCCTAGGTCTTCGTATTTAGTTGTTTTTAGTTTATGTTTGTTGTACGATTTTATATTATGTTTCATCATCGATTCGAAACATATAATCCCCAAAATATTATGCCATAAATAAGAAGTATGCGTGTCACAAAATATACATATAATGGTCCCGAAACTTGATCATTGTCACCATTCCATTATCGAAATCAAGCAGCAATGCATTCAACGTTTCTTTCAAGGTGGCAAGGAATGTGCTGCCATCTGAAAGCTTGAATTCAACAGCAGAGTTGCTTCCGTTGTAATACACTTCTGACTTAATCAGAAATTGATGAAGAAGCATTTTTAGATGTTTTTTTCTATAACATATACGCATATTTATATAAATGGTGATGCATTTTAGACCACACAAATTTGTCAATGCAATTAGAATCCTCCAAAGATGTCGGTAAAATCCCAATCATTAAAAAAACTTAAATTCATGAAATAGCATATATTTTAGTATATTTGAAATTTTTAGTACTGGCTGGTAAATTTGTAATTTATGGAAAATTTAGATTATCGAAAATTTAAACAACCAAAAATTTCTCAAAGATGTACCAAAAATTTTCTATGTATCATAAATTTTGATGCTTCTACCGGAAATTTTCTTCAAAAATTCTTTATATCTCATCAGGAGTAATTGTAAAATAATAACAATTTGGAGGTGTCAGATTTAATTTGGAAGTTGTCAAATAAAATTCTCGACTTATAAATATCTACCTGATTAATTTGTTTAGGTCCAGATAATCGGTTTATTTTATAAAACAAAATTAAAACAAAAAAAAGTTATTGTAAAATAATTTAAAAAATTGTTAGTTGTAGCATTTTCTTGTATAGAAATAATTTTAACTTGTAAAATTTAATCTTTAAAATTTTGCTGCCTTATTTGTATTTTTTTTTTTTTGTAATGAATTTACCCACTGTATACTAAAATCTGTGTACTCATGATTGTAATAAAACTAGAGTATGTGTATTGTTTATCAAAATATAAATAAAGCTTTGAAAGTTTTTTTGTTGATGCAGAGTGACTCTTATCAAGCAACCGGATGTTACAATCTTCTTTGTGCTGGATTTATTCAAACCAATAGCAAGATAGCCATTGGTGCTGCAATTTCTCCTGTCTCTTCTTATGCTGGCAACCAGTATGACATTTCAATCCTCATTTGGAAGGTCTATATTAATTTCTTCCACATGCAAATCATTTTCTCATAAAAAAATTATTTTTTCACTTTTATGTTATGAATTTGAATTAGGACCCAAAGGTAGGAAACTGGTGGATGAGTTTTGGCGACAACACATTGGTAGGGTATTGGCCAGCAGAGCTATTCACACATCTCGCCGGTCACGCCACAATGGTGGAATGGGGCGGCGAGGTGGTGAACTCGCGCTCCAACGGTCGACACACCTCCACCCAAATGGGCTCCGGCCATTTTGCCGGAGACGGATTCGGGAGAGCGAGCTACTTTCGCAACCTCGAGATTGTGGACATTGATAACACTCTTAGCTCAGTGCAAAGCATTTCAACACTAGCAGAAAACACAAATTGTTATGATATTCAAAGCGCCTATAGTAACGAATGGGGTACATATTTCTATTATGGTGGGCCAGGGAATAATCCTCAGTGTCCATGATTTTTAGTTGACGTACATATAAATTCAGTTGGACACGTATAGTTCAGTTTCTAATTTGTCCCATGTTGTTGAAGTAATGTTTTATTTTCTTGTTACATTCTTTACTTGTACGTAATTAAAGAATTATTGTTCTGCTGTTTGCAATCCTTGTTTGGTTTTTTTGGGAAGTACATGTGAATGAGCAGAACACAAACTTGATAAGAAATGGCAAATTTTGATTGTGTGAACTTTTATATACATGCTATTTTTTTCACCTTACTTTTCCTTTTTTTAAAGGCCAAAATGAAAATTTATTGCTATAAGAAAAGGCATGAGGCATGACAAATACAGAAGCCAACAACCCAATAAATCAGTACAATTTGCAGCACATTAAACACCAAACTCAGACCCCAATACATAGTTTTAAGCCTAGAACAATAGCCCCTATTTAAGAGACAGATCCAAATACCCCTCTAACACACTGCTCCAGAGCAAACGACCCTTGTTAATACAAAAACACACTACTGCATGACAGAAACACCACCAGCCAGCCAAAACAGAAACCAACACGTAAACAGGAACCCCCAGCCTACAAGACATAATCGACACATAAGACATATGCGATAACAGTAACCAACCAATTCTCTGTAAAAACTGGAACCGTTACTAAGATCCAACGCTGATCCAAGATTGAATCTGCCTAGCTGCAGCAGCAATACTAGCAAAACTGTTATAACAATTCTACTCGATTAGAGTTACAGCAAACCAGTGCAAAACAACACTCCTATGGTACGCTCTGACTAGGCAAATACACGGTTGTACCCTTCCTGACTTCTGCTTGAGACAAACCTCCAAACCTGGAACTATACTGCAGCACATGAAACTCGCGATACTCCTTGAGCAACTGTCTGCTTGAACGATTCTACAAAACGCTAAGCTCTATCCTAGACACTCACTCCTTTGGGTTCGAGATTCATTTATTTGTAGCATAATTAAATCCCCTAACCTTAGACTTTAACCATCTCCATGAGATCGCCTGAATGTCATCAATACTGATTCTTTTCCACCGTTCTGATGTTCCGAAAATCTTTTCGTTCTTCCTATTCCAAATGATCTAAATACACGTGAACCAGATAACAGAAAATTTATCCCATAGGACTCTGCCTCCTTTGTTTATACCTGGAAACTTAACAAAATTTTACACTGCAGAATTGTGTGAGACGTAGAGAAAACCAAGCCCTCTTATGACCTCGCTCCATGCAAACCAAGCTAACGGGCTTTCGAAGAAAATATGTTCAACACTTTCCTCTCTACTGCAGCCAAAAGGACTTGCATTTTGAGACTCAGACCAAGCCTCTACTAACTAAGTTATCTCTAATAGGGATTTTGTTTTGCCAAACTCTCCATACCAAAACCAATACTTTCACTCCCTAGATACTCCTACAGGGGTTGCAATTCCTTCCATTATCAAGGAGTAGGCTTCTTTAACCATATATACATTCTTGAACCACCTCCATTTATCCTTAACATTGTCCTTCAGAGAAATTCTTTGCGTCATGTCTATAATTTCCTCCACTTTCTTTTTGTTTTCCTCCTCTAAATTACCTTCTCAGTTATCATTCCAAGTTAAGCCCCTACTCTCATTCCTAATCGCATCTCTCACTGAAATTGTCTTATATGTGACTAATATATCCAAAACCGGATATAAATTAATATTTATAGATAGTTTTTTTATAAGTAAAATAGATGTATTAAAATGGAGTATAAGAGATATTCAACTCAATACAAAAGAAACAACATGAAGAAACAAAAACACAACTCGATACAAAAAATCGAACTAGAAACTCAAAAATTAAAATCAGCTATAACATTGAATTTACAGGTTGCCTCGAACCAATCTCACGCATGAGACTTAGCTAAAGAAAAAATATCCTTCACCCTCTTTGTGACCATCCCTAAAAAGAATATGGTTTCTTGTTAACTAAATCCCTCAAAAAAAACCCAAAAAAAGAAGGCGAAAATTCTTCTTTATGCGACATTTCAAGAGGATGTTTGAAGCTAACATGTGATCTAGTAGTAAGTCACATTGAGGTACCCCTTCCCAAACCTAACCAAGCTCAGTCATATGCCAAACACGCATAGAAATCGGACACGAAAGGAAAATGTGAGAATATGCTTCTTCTTGTCCAAGACATAACCCCTTCCTTAGTTTGAAGCTTACTAAATAGCAGTTTCCAAGTAAAGATTTGAATTTTACTAATCACAGGCGATTTATTCAAATACGATGATTAAGTAAAACAATGTTAAAACATAAATAATATTTATATAAGAAAAAAATATACATCGATTCAAATATTTTTATATACGTAAAAAAATAAACAACAATTTATTTTCTTTTAAAATAATAAACCCTTTCGATTAAACAATTTTATTTTTTTATTTATATTAAGCTTTAAAAATAAATACACATATCATATCAATACTCGTGTGTTCGCAAAAATATTCCATTAATTATCATTAAATTGAGAATGAGCAATGTGTTTTGATAACCTTGAGAAAATACAACTAATCATACATGCACCAACATTGCACCAACATGTGTCTATCAAAAAAAATCCTCAACGTGGAAATCAGATGCACCAAGAAATAACTTACGGAAGCTTAACTAATTGTAGAAAAACAAAATCTCAAACACAGCAAAAATATAAACACTCAAACAGCCCAAAATTTACACAATCGCTTAAATTTATTCGTTGCACAATTTTATCACACACGTACACCGTATTTGATCACATCTACTATTCTATTTTCTAACAATGCATATTAAATCTTTTACGACGCATCAGAAGAAATACTATCCATTCTTGTTGCTATGAGTCTATGACTATGATGAAGCAATGAAGTGATGACGTCATCACATTGATGGTGCGGTGTTTGTCATTTCGCCGGCGGAGGGAGAAACACTACCGGCAGGCTCAATTCTACCCATCATAAACCCTAATGTCCTAACCGACTCATCATCCCCCTCATCATGATACGCATAAGCAAATCCACCATGTCTACTCAAATCCATCCCCGCACTCTCCTCATCTCTCGACACCCTCAACAACTTCATCTTATTCAATCCATAAAACAACGGCGCCATCGTCACCGTAACCCACCCACACACCACCACCACCTCAACCATCTGCGCCGCAAACAATCTCCCTCCACCACCCATTAACAATCCACACGGCCTCCCAATCCCATAAATCTCCTCAACATACTCCCTCTTCGCAAACAACCCTGTAAACAACACTCCCCACGCGCCACACCCTCCATGCAACTGTGCCGCCTCCAACGGATCATCATACTTCACCTTAACCGCCAATTTATTAAGCCCGATCAAAACCCACGCCGCAACAAACCCACACACAATCGCCGCCCACGGTTCAACAACCGAACAACCCGAGGTTATCGCGGCGAAACCGCCGAGTAAACCGTTACACACGTCAATCACGTTCCAGTGTCCATCTAATAACCGTTTACTAAACAGAGTCGTTAAAGCCGCAGTGCAACCAGCCAATGTCGTTGTGACACCTGTCCTTCCAATAGCACTCCATTGACCATAATAATCCCTTCCGTTATTCCCGTAGTTTTTTACAATGGTTAAAAACGAACCGGGGTTAAACCCATACCAACCAAACCATAATAAAAACGAACCTAACACTACCAAAGACGCGCTGTGTCCTTTTAAAGCAACAGAGCGACCGGTTCGATCGAACCGGCCGATTCTTGGACCTTCTATAAATGCTCCCCATAACCCTGCTATACCACCAACCATATGAACCACTCCTGAACCGGCAAAGTCGATGACGCCGGACCCGAATAAAACATTGCCATCGGTTCGGGTTGAGCTGGCCCAACCATCAGAAGACCAAACCCAATGCGAAACAATGGGATAAACAAAACCGGTTAAGAAAGAAGAGTATATGAGATAAGCAACGAACTGTGTTCTCTCTGCAATGGAGCCACTGGTGATTCCCGCGGCGGCGATGGCGAATGCCCATTGGTAGAGGAAGAAACTGTAGTCACCATAGTGAGAAGGGTAATCACTTAGACCGAAAAAATGACGGCCGATGAAGCCGTTGGAAGGTGCTCCGAAGGCGAAAGCGAAGCCAAAGAGGTAATACGAGAGCCCGCCTGCGGCGGCGTCGAGGACGTTGGTGAGCATGATGTTCATGGTGTTCTTGGCTCGAACGGAACCGGCGCAGAGCATGGCGAAACCTAGCTGCATGGCGAAGACTAAATAAGCTGAGAAGAGAAGGTAGGTGTTGTCTACTGCGTAGGTTGTGTCGGTGAGTTTTTTTGAGATTGCATTGAATTGGGTGCAGAGGTAGTGTGCAACGGCGGTTGCGTTTGCGGTGGTGGTGAGAAGTGGGGCAAGGTCGTTGGCTGAGCAAGAGAGAGAAGCCATAGTCAAAGTGAGAGTGAGTGCAGAAATGGACACAAGTGAGGTGAGAATATGAATTGAATAGATATGGTGGAGTGGAAGGTATCTATTTTAACCCATCCATTTTAGAATAGTGTAAGAACCATTGGATAATCTCGGCTATTTTTAGTGGTTTTTATGACAGCAGAAAGAATATTTTAGATTGGAATGGATTATGAATGATAGTGTTTTTGGGGTTAGAACTTGTTCTGTCCTCTTCATTACTCATTTCAACATTTCTCACTGTCCCACCTTTATGTTGTTTTGTACAATTACTTGTGTGCATGCACTGCCACTAAATTATATGTACGCATATATTACTGTTATTTTTATATTTATTTTAAACAAGCATTGGGGGCAATATTTATGTTTTGGACAAAGTTTGCTACAGTTGTGGTGTAATTCATTGTTTAATGGATTAATTAGTTAATCTATGGTTAATTGGTCATAGTAGTGGAAGGTGATAGTTGACTCAGAGGTCTTGTGTGCTTTCTGTAGATGGTTTGATGAGTCGTTTCTTATTTCTTGTTACTTTTGAGTTGTTTGCTTCTTTGGTATAACATTTTTAGATGGTTATGGTAGATTTAAGTTTTTTTTAAGGATTTCATTAGAGAAAAAAAATTCTTTTTAAGGATAAGTTTTGTTCATACATAAATCTATTGACTGAATTAGAAAGGATAAGAAGGAACAGGCAAAGGTAGACGAAGCGGGCATTGCATGTTGGGTCGAGTAGGACATCGGATCAAAAAGCTTCATGACCGAGTCGAGTAATGAGGCCGAAGGCGGTTATGGACGGTCATATGAGAAGATGAATAGGCATTGGACGAACTCATACGTCAGATACTGTTACTGGCCCTAGACGTTATAAATAATCCGACATTGATGAGACTGTTACGCAGTGGTCGACTATTTAAGAGAGAAACTGCCCATCAACATATGATGACGCACGTTATAACGGCTACCATCATTAGTGACGACAGACGTTTCTAGCTTTGATGCCACGATCAATGAAGAGTCACAACGATTATGAACAGCGATCAATGAGGTCCATGCACCTCCATATAAATAGGGCTCCCGACTGAGGGGTAAGCAAGACGCATCGCTTGGAGCTCACGAACACTTGTGTAAGCCTCTGAATCCCCAGACATGGCTCAATTACTGGCCATGATCGACGACCTCCGCCAAGAAAACGACACACTCCAGGATAGCGTCCACATCCTGTAGACAAAAAGTCAAGACGACGACGATCAGGGAATGGAGCTTCTGAAACCTCAGCCATTATCCCAGGCTATCTAGGACGATCGTATTTCAGAAAATTCAAGCCCCCGACATACTCGTCATACGACAGGATATCTGATCCCAACGAACATATCATTACTATCAACAGCATGATGGCAATCATCGGGGCTAATGATTCATTGAAGTGCAAGCTCATGGCCGACACTTTCAAGGAATCGGCTTTAAGGTGGTATATGGGCCTTCCGAGACACTCTATCACCAATTATCAAGATTTCACCAAAAAGATAGTCCAACAATTTTCTACAAGCCGACACAGGAAGGTGTCCACAACGACATTATTCAATGTTCGCCAACTCCAATCGGAACCCTTGAGGGATTACATGGCACGGTTCAACGAAGAAACTATAAAATTTTCTCACCCCAATTAGGAGATCTTTGTAGAGGATTTTCAGCACGGTCTCCGGGTCGATCAATTCAACGAATCGCTGGCCCAGAAACCGGTCACTAGCATAGACGAGATCATCGTCACCCATACATAATGTTACATAAAGGGAGAAGAAAGTAACATGGAAAAAGAACCAGACACTAAGGAAAGAGGAGGACCCCAAGAAGAGACTCCAAGGCAGAAGAAAGAGCAGAACCGCACTCATGACCGACCGGAGCAACTATTACTACAAAGTTATGCCTTTCGGTCTCAAAAATGTTAGGTCTACGTATAAAAGGTTGATGGACATGGTCTTCGCTCCACAGATCAGACGGAATATAGAGGTATACATTGAAGGCGTGATGGTCAAGACCGTAGAGGAGAGAAGATAAGTGAAGGACCTGGAGGAAACTTTCGCATTGATACGAAGCTACAACATGCGCTTAAACCCATATAAATGTGCGCTTGGGGTGCAAGCCGTGAGATTCCTAGGATACATGCTCACAAGTCGGGGAATAGAAGCCAACCCGGACAGATGCCAAACGATCATCGACATGAGAAGTATGACATCTATCTGTGAAGTCCAACAACTAAGCGGCCGTTTGGCTGCCTTATCTCGTTTTCTATCTTGTGCTAGGGAAAAATCAATTCATTTCTTTGCAACAATAAAAAAGAAGGCAGACATTGAATGGAATGACGACTGCGAAAAGGCTTTCCTCGAAGTGAAGCAGTTCCTGTCAACTCCACCTATACTGGTTTGACCCAAGGAGAATACACCTCTGGTACTTTACCTAGCCATGTCAGACAAAGCCATCAGCTCGGTCCTAGTCCAAGATGGGGAGACCGACGAGAGGCCGGTTTATTTTGTCAGCAAGGTATTACGAGGAGAAAAACTTATGTATCAAAAGATTGAACGTTTGGCTCTGGCATTAGTAACGACAACAAGGAAACTCAGGCATTACTTCCAAGGCCACCCATCCTAGTAAAAACCAATTTCCCTATTAAGCAAATTCTAAAAAAGCCAGATCTGGTCGGGCGCATGGTGGCATGGGCGGTGGAACTCTCAGAATATGACATAGAGTTCATCCCATGAACCATAATAAAATCTCAAGTCTTGTCCGACTTCGTGGTTGAATTAAGCGCCCCGGAAAACGAAGAATTATCCACCAGATGGATCCTATCGGTGGACGGGTCATCCAACTTGAGAGGTAGTAGAGCCGGTGTCGTACTAGAGGGACTCGGGGACTTGGTCCTAGAGTATTCATTGTGCTTCAATTTTCAAACTAAGTGAAGTGAGATTTTAATGGTGTGCGTTTAATTACTAAGTCCATGACTTTCTTAGGTGGAGATACCTTACCTTGGTATCTGTTGTACCCCAAAATTTGTCCTCCCATTTTTCATAGAAGACATAACCCTAGGGTTTCTCGGATATTCAAGATGGCTTAGAAATCGACCAGACAGATTCTCTTCTGTGGCAGTAAACCAGTAATTAGGGTTTCTTGCATTTCTAAAAAGAAAATGAGTTCTCAAAGATCCAATTGACTTTCACAGGTCTTCATGTTTCCTCAAGATTGTACTTATGATTTCTTCAAGCTACAAGATTTTGAGACAATTATGTCTGTTCATGGTCACATGTGATGTCGCTCACAGGTTTATCTTCAAAGAATCAGAATAAATTTGAGTTTGAAAAACTTTAAAATTATCAAATCATCGCAAGGCATTTGATTGATTTTGAATTTTCTTAAAACACAGTTTACTGAAAAAGATAATGTTTGTTCTCAGAGCATGATTTGTTTGGGACAAGAGATAGAGGTTAAGACTGTCATTTAAGACAATCATGATTGTGGGATCCAAGTTGACCAGATGATTTACGTCCTTAAAACATTTGTTTGGTTAGGAAATGGAATATACAGTGCGTGTTTGTTTGAAATGCAGTTACAGAATTATTGGGATTACTTGGAATTTAAGTTACCAGACTGGAGCATTTTGGGATGTTTGAGGCTTGACTACTGTCTTTTCAGTTTCAAATTTGTTGTTGGTTTTGTGAGTTTGAAACTTGGTTCAGTGGTGGGATGTTTGAGGTTTACTGATGGTTTTTGTGTTTGAGATTTTGGAGGCTTTGTTTGATGGTTAACAGTTTGAAAATTTTCTTGGATATGTTACTGGTTTGCTGTTTTGGTTTTAGGCTTGTTACAGGTTTGGTTTGATGATGGTGACTGGTTTTTGTTGTTTGTGTGGTTAACAATTTTTGTGAGATTTTGGTTTTGGATTTGTTGATGTTTTCTGGTTTTGAGTTTGTGAAGCTTGTTGACTATATCTTCAGTTTGAGACTTGTGTCTTTTTTCTGTTGCCATGCTTCTGTTATATCCATATGCAAATGGTGGGAAACCAAAAAAATTGAATATTTTGGTATATTGTCCTTATGGATTTTTTGTTGCAGTTTTGTTTTCTTCCATTTTCTATGCAACTTGTGACAGGTTGTGGGCAAGGCAGCAAAGGTTGTGCATTTTGGGAAATTCCAATAACCTAGGTGACTTCTTTCCTCTCTTCTCTCTCAATGATAATAAAAAAGCAATTTGCTCTTTTGCCTTTTTTTCCAATTCTGAAAGGTTTGCAACTGGAAAATGATGATATATTGCTTCTTGAGCAAGTTTTGCTATTTTGTTTGACTTAGCTATTTGCTTACTTGCTATATTGCTGCCTCGTTTTTTGTTGATGCTGCTGGTTTGGCCTGTTGTAATGTTGCTGTTTGTGATGCTGTTTGGACAGTTTGTGGCATTTTGTTTGGTTCAGTTTGGCATTTTGTTTGGTTCAGTTTGTAGCATTTTGTTTGGTTCAGTTTGTAGCATTTGTTTGGACAGTTTGTAATGCATTTGTTTGGACAGTTTGTGGTGCATTTGTTTGGACAGTTTGTAATGCATTTGTTTGGACAGTTTGTAATGCATTTGTTTGGACAGTTTGTAATGCTTGCGAATTCTTTTTCTTTTTTTCTTTTTGTGAACCAAGAAGGATAACCTTCTTGTGATTTTCAAATAGGGGAAATAAATTGTGATGAATTAAACAGCATTCTGATTCCACATTGCAAACCTTAATGATGAATCCCTTTTGGAAAAAATTATGTTCATGCCCAAATAACTTGCACTAACCATGTTTTCCTTTTCTTGTTTTCATGTGAGCAAAATGGAGATGACAAAGCAAGGAACGCAAGAAATCTGTGGCAAGCATGGAAGTCTTGGAGATAAACAAAAGAATTTGATATGCCTTCAATCTTCAAACAAACTTAGGCATAGATTAATTCTCCTAGGCCAAACATTTATTTGGA